TATCTGTTCCTGTCATTTATAATATGTTTTTTGTTTATTTGATTCCTATATCAATCATAGTTCTAATTTATATTAAGCTTGTAAAATATGTTCGAGAAATGAGCATTCGTGCAACATCAACTCAAACAATGTTTCAAGCTCGACGAGATCTAGTAGTTGTACGTCGTATTATTATTATTATAATGATTTTATTGACACTTGGTTTTCCATATGTTATATTTATATTGATATCATTTGTAACTAAACCACCGAAATATCACTTACGTGCTGCTATATTCCTAGTTGATCTATCTCAAACATTAATTATGATTGCTGTTTTTAAATTCTGTCAACCAGTCATGGATGTCATATTAAAATACAAACGTCTAGTTTCCAGCCGTGTTCAACCAACAATGACATGAACATCCGTGAGGTAACGTCGACAGATCATGTGGAAATATATGACGTACTATCACGGGTGAGAAAAACTATTTATAGCAAAAGTGAACGTGATGCATATTCTGAAAATTCTTGTTGTCAGTTTTTCTAATTTTCTAACAGTACGTCATTTATTGTAAAGAAAAAAGAATGTTTTATGGTATTAAAAGACGAATTGTAAAGAAAATAAAGCTAATCATCTCTACTGCTCTTGGTATTTATCTTTATAAATATTTAAAACATCGTCTGCGTTGTGTATATACTTAAAATGAAGGCATTCACTGATTATAGTTGTTTAATAATGAAATGTAATCGAAGAAGCAAAGTAATAGAAAAATATGATATAAACAAAACCGTTAGGTTAATTCACATTCAAAAGCACACATGAGATAATAATTTTTTCATTGTCAATAAAAATAAAAATGAGATTCATAGTTGATTTTAAACAAGTTTGTCAAGTGCTTCTTGAACTTCTTTGAAAACTTCATCAGGTGGTAATTCAGAATTAACCTAAATTAAATTTTAAAAAAATCAAATTGAAAAGAATATTAGTATTTTGATGAGATTACTTCGGCTAATTTATTTTTTCGTTCATATAAATCTAGTACAGGTATTGTTTGATCATGAAATGTTTTCAAACGTTTTTTAATTGTTTCTTCATTATCATCAACTCGTCCTGATGTTTGACCACGATGTAATAATCGTTTTGTCATTGTTTCATCATTTGCTCTTACATATAAGACAAGATCACATGGAGCAATCTATAGTATAAAAGTAATTGAATAATTTTGAGTTTTTAAAAAAAAACAAGATTAACGAACCATTTCTTCGAATTTTCTTGCCTGAGGAACTTCACGTGGATAACCATCAATAAGATAACCTTTAGAGTTTTCAGCTTTTTCAAGCATATTTTCTCGAAGTAAATCAAGTACGACTTCCTATTTAAAAGAAGAAAAATGTTTTTTTTCTTACAGATAACAGAAAGTAATAATATACCATAGGTACTAATTTTCCTTCTTTCATCAAGGCATTCAATTGTTCACCTCGTTCACTTTTCGATTGAACTGTTTCACGAAGAAGATCACTATAATTAATCAATTAACATATATTTTTTCGTTCGTATATATAAACATACCCAGTACTCAAATGTGTATAACCATATTTTTGTACAATTCGTTCACATTGTGTACCTTTACCTGACCCTATCATAATAATAATAATTCTTATTTGTTTCGTAGAAATTAAATCAAAATTTACCTGGTCCACCCACAACAAAAATAATCTTCTTATTCTTTAATTTGTCCATATTGGGTTTATGTGGAATAACTAAAAAATGAACGAGTACATGTTTATAACTAGTTCGAAGAATATCCAGACTTATATCTGACACAAATATGATATACTAATCAGGAAATTAAAACAAATAGTTTGAAAATTTTAGTTACATTGTTTTTAATTCTGAACATGTCTCATTGAGATTAATCTTATTAAGTGTAAGAAAGTTACAAAAATACCTTTGCCTGATGATTTCAATTCAAATATCCAAAAGTGAATACTTCACACACAAATAAAAAATGTACATAAAAGATGAATTCTAGTTATTTACCTACTTGTTGTTGTGCCATTAATCCTTCGAATGCTTTTGATAAATCATCAGATACTTCCTCTATTTGTCGGTTAGCTTCAATAGTAATTAATTTTCCTTGTTTACCATAATAACCCAGAATAGGTTGTGTTTCTTCACGAAATGTTAGTAAACGCTTTGCAATTACTTGTTCATTGTCATCTATTCGACCACTACTTTCTCCACGTTTTACTAATCGTTTAGCCATTACGTCCTCAGGAACATCGAAATAAATCAGTACATTACATTCAGTTATATCTTTTTCGAATTGCATACCTGACATAATATCAAATAACAATATTTTATTTTCATCTAAATTCTTTCTTACCTTGTTCAATTCGACGAGGAAATCCATCGATTAAAAAGCCAGAAGCCTTTTTAGCTTCATGATAAATAGCATCTTTAATTAATCCAAGAATATCTTCCTAGATACAAAAAACATGATAATAATAATAATGCATTCTACTTTAGAATTAAATTACTGTTGATATAAGTTTTCCTTGTAACATAGCCTCATTGAAATTACGACCTTTTTCTGTTGATGTATCCTTTGAAGCTGCACGAATAATATCACCAGCTGATAAATGTGTGAAACCATATTTTTCAACCATTTTTTGACATTGAGTTCTTTTACCACTACCTATTATATATAAATACTATATTCTATTTATAAGATAATGTCTTTTAGTACCTGGCCCACCGCCAACAAAAATTAGTGGTTTTCCTTTAAGAAGATCTTTATTTGCATTGTCGTTAGTTTTTACATCTGCATGTTGTTCAGGTTTTGGTTGAGCATCAGTTTTTACAGGCGCATGCTGTTCAGAGTGAGGTTGATCATCAGATTTTACAGGAGCCTGTTGTACGGCTGGTGGTTGAGCATCAGTTTTTACAGACGCATGCTGTTCAGGATGTGGCTGAGCATCAGGTTTTGCAGGAGCCTGTTGTACTGCAGGTGGATGAACGTCAGTTTTTACAGCCGCATGCTGTTCAGGATGTGACTGAGCATCAGGTTTTGCAGGCGCATGCTGTTCAGGATGTGGCTGAGCATCAGATTTTGCAGGTGCATGTTGTTCAAGTTTTGGTGCAGAAGACTGTTCAACTGGTTTTGCAGATATATTCTGGTCAGGTTTTGGTGGAGGTTGTTGAGCATCAGGTTTCGCTGGTACCTGATGTACTGGAAATGTTGGCAATTCAGATTTTGGCTTTTCATCTTGTTTACCATTAGAAATAGGATTGAGTTTTGTTTGATTATTCAATTTCGATTCAGAAGTAGTAGATGTATCAATTGGAGGTAATTTATTCTTTCCATCACCTTTTTGTCCAACAAACGTATCCCATTTTAATGATTGTTTGTTACCCTTACACTACAATAAAAGAAAAATAATATTTTACGTTTATTGATGATAGTTTTACTCGTGAAAGAGATTCTATAAGAAAGTCAATATGATCTTCAGGTTTATTCACCATAAGTCCAGTCATTAATGCCTAAAAAAAATTATATAAATACATTTTTTTTCAATTAAAATTTACCTCAAATAATTGAGGAATCTTCCGTTTAGAAATATAATCTTTCGCCAATTCCGGAGTCGCATCTTTATTTGTTTGAGACATGACTGAAAAATAATAGATCTGAAAAACAAGAGCTTTGTAAGATCATCAAAATTATTCACATTGACTTTTTAATACATTAAATGTAAGAAAAAAAGAGAACTAAAGCAAAAAATATTTTTCTTACAGCATGACTAACAAGATTGCAGGAAAAAAGAGATTAAAATGAAAAAGACATAGGGTTTCACTAGATTGCACATTTTTGATTAGAATGAATATTGAAAAATATCACAACAAAAAAAACCTTATTGCAAATATATATAAATTAGATATATTTTAATATTTCACTTTTAAAATCTTCATAGATTTCATCAACTTCCATACGACAATCAACCTGAAAAGAAATAATAGAATAAGAACTAAAAAACAATTCTTCTCACTGACATGAAGAGCTTTCTTATTTTGTTCGAATTTTTGAATAATTGTATCAACTTCAGTAGATTCTATTCCTGTTCGATAATCACCAATATAGATCAATGCTGAACAAGGACCAATCTACAAAAGAAAAAATTAGAATTATTACATCCAAATAAATTCTTACCTCGGAATAAAATCTTCGTAGATCATTCAATGAAGTTGGAAAATAATCAATAATATAACCGGAACATATATCTCTTGATTCAATAATTTCCTTTTTTAATTGTTCATAATTCGAAAAATCTTTATTTAAATCTCCATAAGATATATATTTAAATGAAAATTGTTCGACTAAATGTTGACATAATGTATAAATAAATGAATTATTATTTTCCTCATCTGCCATTTCAAATTCATTATCAAATGATAAATCCTCTTCATCATTTGTTTTTGTTGCAATACGATGATTATCAATACAAAAGAATATGGGTAGATTGAAATGATCTATTTCTGTTGACATTGTTGAAAAGCGTTGATTAAAAAATGTATCTTGAGGAAATAATTTATCTAGATAATGTATCATAGTCGCAAGGATATCATTAAAATTCTTAGTAGAATCAATCTGAAAATCATTAAATTTATTTTAATATAAACAAGAAAATAAATCTAGTTTTACTTGAATAATCTTCGAACTTTGATTTGATATTTTATGATTAATATTCGATGATATGATGAAGAATAAATTAATTCGACCGAGCTATAAAAATATTGAATAAATTTTATATAAATATATAAAAAGAATTTACTTTATCTTGCCATTGTCGAAGAAAATTATGTTCGTCTATGTCACCAGTAATAAGAAAACCATTCGATTGTGAATAATATTGTTCTATCTCATGTTGAATACTCTCATATCGATATTTACTTTGATCATTAATTGAGACATAATTTATTTGATGATAACGTTCAAGTAATCTTGAACATAATTTTAACGAATTTGATGAACCTTTTTTGTGAACAAGATATTTTTTTTGATTAGTTTTAAAAAGAAAACTTTACTTAGAATAAATATAAGAGGTATACGTGAAGAATTTGTTTTCGTATGTTCAATCCGTGGTAAAACTAATTGTGGATCGAATGAAGAACTTTCATTTGATTTTGAATGAATAGGAGGTAATAATGAACATGATGATTTTGTTATAAAAAAATCCCCACTAATGCGATCTGGATGATTTTCTGCCTAGAAATTATTATTGATTAAATAAAGAAAAATTTAGAATAGAATTATAAATCAACTTTGTCTAAACATTTACGCATGAATGTTATATGATCATCGGGTTTATGAACCATTAGAGCCGTCATTATACCCTTACAAAGAAAGAGAGTAAGGTGAATCAATTCTATTTATATCAAAAAGAAAAATTTTTACCTCAAACAACTCGTTAATGCCTTTTTTATTTATATAATTAGCAGCACTTTGACTGCCGTGTTCTCCATAAGAATTTGTTGCCATGTTCAGTTTAAAATTATCCAATAGGATTTAATCAGATAGCTTTTTTTTCCTCGTACATCTAGAATAAAATAAATTTCACTCAATTCAATAATATGTAAATGATTTATAAATAAACTTGCTCAAGTTATAAATTATAAAAGTTTTTCTATGTTCGTTTTGCAAATAATATAAGTGATTTCTTTTCACTACTTTTCGATTGAAGAGTAAAAAGAACTTCTACATCTAGTTTTGTTTCAATTAAATTAGTTTTTATAAGATTTCTTGATTATTTTATGTATGATTAAAATTTTTCATTGTAAGAATTCATTCAATATAAATAAAACATCATGCAGAATTATATAGAAAGATAATTGCATATATCATTGACTATAATGCAACTTGATTGAACTTTCGATAGTATTTTTTAGATTAATAACCATCTGTTAAAACTCCTACGCCATCACACCTTCGCAAATAGTTGCTACGTGAAATTTGATATCATGTTGCAATTAAAACCTGGAGCATTCGATATAAATAACTACAGTTGTGTTGAAATTAATAGGTCTTCTATCTTATGAAATTTACATAAATAAAAAATATGCTGAAGGGAGAATTTGAACTTATATAAGAGGATATTTTCAAGACAAATGATGTAATCATGCATCTTTATTCGGATAATCGACAAGAAAAATTGACTTACCAACCATCAGTTTTAAAGTCAGACCAAGAGAGTAAAAGTGAAAAAAAAAGAAGTTCTCACGTCATTCTTCTCATCTTAATCGTTCCTTTCAGCATTGACATGCATTTTATTTTACCATTTCTTTTTTTCTTCTCTTCACTACTGTTTTTTTCATAACAAAAAAAACAACAGATATATATATTTTTTTCTCTCATCTATTATTTACAATCGAATATTTCCGTCTGCTGTTCTATAGAGTATCTTAGGAACAAAACTTACAATTCTATATGAAACGTATAATTGTTTCCGTCATGATGAACAAAATATTTTCTACAAACATATCTCAAGGTTATTATCACCATAGAATATTCTTTTGAATACCTATTCTAAAATAGAAATTTATGAGCATGCTTGAAGTCTCAATCGTTTGTAATTAAAAAACAATACAGCATACATTTTAATATTCAACAAATATGAATAATTAAGTGTGATAATGCACATCTCTTCATATAAAACAAGACACCAATCATATTCTTAGATGACATACCTGACCCAACTTGATATTGGCGCTTTTTTCATAAGATTTAAGTTTAACTGATTATAGACATCTGATAAAATCCTTTTTTGTATATTGTTGTAATTCATATAGATCAGTATATTTTATTAAGAAATTAATTATTTGATAGCAGCGACATATCTCATATGCTTATTCAAGTATTGAAACAGTATCTTATTTAAAATTTATAATAATAGTAGAAATAACGTATGTTACGTATAATTTTCTCGGAAAACTTACCTTAATTATTGTTTGACGTCTTTATTAACACTTTAAAAATTTAATCATATAAAAATTTTAAGTTTTTGTTTAAAATCTATAGAAACGATCTACCATATTTAATAAATGATGTCAAGCAACGTCCTCTATCCATCATTTTTATTCGATTTTCAATGCATCTATTCAATAGCGTTACAATCTACATCAATATATATTGATGTTACTTACTCACAAGTTCACACGTGATGTGTTATAATTGAACGCATAAAAAACGCTCTGACAAAAAGTAACTTGTATATCAAACCTAACGATGAATAAATCAATGCAACAGACAACTACAGGTAAAATTAAAAGCAATTTATTTATTTCTTTATATTTATGATATATTTTTAGATTTTTGGATTGATATTGAAGCACCATCGAATACGATGAGTACTATCAATGATCAAGAGTTTGTACCAAATATGGATATTAATGAAAATTTATTATTAGAAGCACAAAAAGAATCATCTCGTACTAGTTCAAAAAGTTCACATAGTGATAGGTAAATAATTCTTATTGTATGTTTTTTCAAATAGAGAAATACAACTAAAATTCTAGTTCATCACCTAAAACTCCAAAGAGTCCTGTTCAAACTGCTGCTGATTGGGTATCATTTTGGTCATCACGTATTGAAGCTGAACCACCAAAGTAAAATATTTAGATTTAATTCCTAACTTTTTATATGTGTATTTAATTTTAAAAGAGAATGGAAATTTATTCATCCAATAAATCAAAATATTGATAATGACGAAGAAAAAAAATTAGTTAAAAAAAAACATCTACGTTATGTTATTTTAAGTAATTGTGCAAGTTTTATACTTGGCATGGGAATGTAAGTAGAATCATTAAAAGATGAATACAATGTATGTTATTTTTATTTAGTATGTATTTATGTGTACGTCGTTATCTGCGAATGAAAACACCTTATTTTTATTCATTAGAGTAATTAACTGAATTCATACGACATATCTGCATAAGATTTCCTTTTGTTTTTTCGTTTTCGTTATGCAAATTTGTTTTGTTATGTATTTATTGTTTTTACATCGATGAAGTTGTATTTTGATGTGAATTTTTTTTGAATATGTATTTAACTAGTATTAGATAATCGATATGTCTGTATATAAATGTTTTGTGTTTAATCGTTCTTTGATATATATATATATACATGTGTTTGTTATTAACGAAAGAAATACAAATGCAATTATACATTCTGTTCTAATTTAGAGCTTGTTAATGTTATGTATTATACGGAATATATTTCAAGAATTCGAATTAAAAGAACGTCGTAACTATCTTGTGAGCAAATAAAGAGATTTGCTTAGTTAGATGACTTATGCGTTACTGTTATGAATATTATAACATTAGTTATGATTATATTTGAGTCCTCTACAAATTGCAGGCTTGATATGGTAAAATCAGAGAGCGTAACTAATGAATTGAAAAATTCCAAAACCTCAAACTCATCGTCTAGACAGATCAATATTAATTGTTCATAATGAAGTTGATAAATATCTCTATGTACAAATGACGTACACCTTTAGTGTACTCCCCACGTATATGTCAAACTAGAAGTAATGATGTATTTGACTATAACAACAGAAAATTTCTTATTTATGATAAAATCTTCTAACTAAATTTTTTGAAATAGTCTAATAGATCTTAATGACCCATCTAAAGGTATACATTAGAAAGAATGTATTTTTCTGTCTCATACTACTTTCATTTGAATTGATTTGTCAAAAAACTAATTATTAAAAATGAACATCGAATAAAATTATAGCAATTTGATGTAGATCACCTAAAACTATTAATGTACTCTTCTTAAAAACAGATCATAATGAATCTTCATTGTAATAGGAATAACAAAATATACTGTAAACGATTAAAATAGACAAAGTTTTATGCTGACATTTTATTACATCATATACATAGTAGAAAATGTCATGCACATCAATAGTAATCACATACAACTATTAAATACTCCAGTGACGAACCCAGAGGGGGGATTGATCTTCTCCTCCGAGGAAAATTTCTAGGTGCGTGCCTGAAATACTCGCTTTACTTCCCTATTCTCGATTATCACACACGAGATGCTAACATTAACAATATAAAGAGCAATCATTTTTAAAATCATAACGTAATTTATCCTTTATAAAATGTCAATTTATTCACACTATTTTAACTCATGAAAAATAAACAACAATGCGTGACTATATATCATAGTCTACTCTCTTTATTTATATATGGATGTTAGTGAAAAATTATGCATATACCAATTTTGATTAGATCAAATAAATATGCGATACATTAACATGTATTTGACATAATATATCTATTATGAACACACATCGAGTCTTAAAAATCAACAGTTTATTGTCAATTATCACGGTTTGAGACATAAAGTTTATGAAAGCAAAAAAAAATACATCATACAAGTGTTTCTAGAGAATGACAATGATAAACACTTTCATTTGATGACAGGGAACCTAAACATGAGTCTGTTGTACTTTGTTCAGATAGATTATCATCATCGGATGTACAAAAACTATTTTCTCCTGGTTGAAGTAATATTAATTGATCAATATCACGATCAACACTTGAATTTCGTTGAATTGATGATTTTTTTAAAATACTTTTCACTTCGATTGTTGTTGGTGATGATATTTCATGTTTTCGAGTTACTGTTGATAGACGAAATCGTACGCGTGATAATGATCGACTTGTATCTTCACGATTAACAGCTTGATAATATTCATCTTGACGTGATTGTCTTGTATTTACATTCGATATTCTAAAATTGTAATTTCTTAAATTAAGAAAACTTTCAAATAGACAATAACAAACCTATTGTCAGCATTTGATTTTGTTAATTGATTAATTATTTCTTGTTGTTTTTGTATTAATAATTCTTGTATTCTTAATTGTTCATATGGATTTATTACTGATGTGGGTTGTTGTATTGATGAACGAACAAGTTTTTTACGTTGAGCTAAACGTGATGGTGAAGAAGTACGTTTAAATGCTAATTTAAAATGAATATCTAATGTTGAATAATTAGAAAGAATATCTTGAATAAAATCTGTAGGTTTTAAAGCATATAAATATGGTTGTTGTTCAATATATAAACAACAATCATTTATAGTTAAATAATCATTTTCAGATAGATCATTAAGTAATGCATGAATAATATCAGCAACTGTAGTTAAATGATTAAAATTTGATATAGATTTATTTATTCCTTGACAAGATACTTGAATATGTTTATGTTGAAAGACTAAAATAATAAGAAAATAAGAATTGATCGTTTGTATTAAAATATATTCTTACCTGACATGTTCAATTGAGTATGTTTATGTATCTATCGATTGATTCAATCGATTTATATATATATTTCTATTAAGCCAATCATTCTATTGTCTAACATTTTTCCTCTTTCTAATTGATTACCGAATCGAATAGATGTGTCACTCATATTTTCGATGGTTAAGACAGAGGTGAATATATATGAAATCGATAGTTCATTTT